GAGCTGTTCCACAAATTCCAAACTTTGAATACATACGATCAAGAAGAATAGTGTGATCAACAGTGTCAAAAGCTGCAGATAGATCCAGAAGAACCATAGCAACACCAGAACGATTATCAATTTCTTTAAGGATGTCATTATGGACACGAGTCAGGGCAGTTTCACAGCTATGAAGTTGTTTATAAGCAGACTGAAGAGGTTCATGCATGTTGTTAGATGACAAATAAGCACAAAGTTGATCAGCAACAACTTTTCCAATAATTTTAGAGACAGTCTTAAGATTTGATACAGGACGGTAATTAACGAGTTTTTCATGATCCAACGATGATTTCTTAAGAAGAGGTTTGACAAAAGATCTTGGACGTGCGTATCTTAAAGGCGAGTCAGGGCAACCAAAAGACTTGGATAATGCAAAGAGATGGTTAAAGAAAGCAGCGATCAATGGTGATCAAGAAGCTGTCGAGGTAAGTTGTAAATTTTTGCATCCCTTAGCTTTTCTTTACCTTCCTTTAAAACCCTGAAACACCCTCTGAGCTATTCAAAGTTAGGGCATGACTAAGACACAATTCGAACTTTGATACAACTTCTGAGCTGATCAAAGTTAGAGCAATGCTAACTCACCGACGAAATTGGTTGTACTAAGCGTGTTAGGTTTTTTTAATAGATCATGAAGAAATTCGACGACAAAACCATAGTCGATGTGTTAGATGAACCAGACGATCTCTTACGAGAAAGCAATGCTAAGCAATATTGTGAGCTGTTAAAAAGCACCATCGAACAAAGCCAGCAGCGACACCCCTATGTCAAAAGGTATTCAAAGCATATCGGAGTCAAATGTTTTGAAAATTTTCCGAGATCACCTACAGCGCGACGCTTCAAGAAAGCTTCTGAGCTCTTAACGAAAGGCTTAGAAAAGTTTGAAATTTTGGTTCAAAATGATGAGAACTTGGGTACGACGTCAACCAACCGTGACTTCGAAGAAGGAATAAAGTTGTTAGCACAGGGTATGTTGTATGAGAATTCCGTTGTCGTATCTTGTCTACAAAGTACGCTCCCGCCTGATCTCACCCTCCTTATTCAAGATTCCATTTTCAAGATGCTTGAAACCCATCCAAACTTTTTTGAAGGCCTGGTAGTGTTGTTTGCATCATACCCTTTAAGTAGACGCTTCAGCGCAGAGAGCTGTAAGATGGATCTTCGCAGGACCATGTTTTTGAATAATATTATCCATTTGATGAAGAAAGCGGAACCAGACATGCCACCAACACAAGATCCCTATTCATATGACCAAAACTACAGTAGCTGGTTACATCAACTTTATTATCTCCTTGGCTCAAATTATATCATTGCCGAGTGCTTTGAACATGGCGCAGAAGTTTTCCAAAAAGCACTTGATTGTTGTCCAAAGTTTGCTGAAGCAAAACTACCTCTAGGAAGTTGTTTGCTAAAAATGAGTTTGAAGAAGCAGCCTGTTGGCAAATGTGGTGAAACTAATCAAGAAGATGAAGACAACCCTGATGAGGTCTTGTTGAAAAGATTTGCAAAGCCTGAATACCAACGAATAAACAGAGGCGACTACAGAACATGGTCAGTGACCCAACTCAGAGAAAAAGCCAAGCAGTTGTTCATGGAATATCTTGAAGAAGTACCAGAATGTGACAAAAAGTATCCTGAGGGACACTACCATCTGGCATTCCTTTGCTTGATTGAGGAAAACAGAGAAGAAGCCTTAAAATGGAAAGAGAAAGGAGAAGAAGCGGAAGAAAAGGTATTGCCTTTTCTGCAACCGTTTGAATCAGCTTTCAAGGAATGTTTAAGTTCATTAGACTTGTTACCAGTTTCAAAGAAACACAGCGAGAAGCACAACCAAAAGACACGTCGCGATCCTTGCGGGACTGTGACACTATTGGGAGTTGGGAGGCAACATCTTGCAACAGCCAGTATGAATGAAAGAGAGACGAAGACATGTTCGAAATGTAAAAACAACATTCAAGAATTGAAATGGTGTCCATGCAAGAAAGCGTTTTATTGTGGAAGGTAAATAAACTAACTAATCGTTTGAAAAATTATCTGACCAAACGAACAATCGATCAATAATTATTATTCATTCAATTATTCAACCAACCAACCACACTTCCAACCGGAAATCAACCAACCACCAATTCACCAAACCACTAACCTACCAACCCTACAACCCACCATCCCAACAACCCAACAACCCAACAATGCAACACCCAACACGCAACATGCAACACGCAACAC